GGCCTAACAATAAGCATTGTATTTATTTGTAGATCTAAGAACAAAACAAGAATGAGGCTCTGAATAATGTCATATGTAAGTATGGTTTGTTCTCACAAAAGAGAAAGAATGCAACTAAAAAAATATTGGCTGTCTCACTTGTATATTTATTAGACAGGAGTCAAAATACATCATTTAAAACGACAGCTCTCATAGCAAATGGTAAAAATATTAAGTAAAAAGCTAACCACTGGAACAAAAGTTCCAAATCCTAAGAATTGAAGAAAATTTTAAATAGCAAAGACACAACAAATACTAAACAATATCCACAGAAGTTATATTATAACAAAAGTTGAAAACACATCAGTTGAAGTAACAAATGTGAATTTATTTAATTGATTTAATAAGAAAAATATCCTCAAGTTGGTTCATAAAGCAAAATCCAACCCTGTGCCGAATACATGATACTGTTAAGGTTCTATATATATTTAAAGCAACTGTTGAAAAGACAAAACTAAAACTAGATTCAAACAAACAATTAAATTCGACTGAACTCTATTTCAATTGAATAACAATCACACTTGAGAAAATTAATTTAAGTAATTTTTGAACACAGTATTTTGACTTTTACATTCAAAATATTCACAGTAGTTTGACATTATACATACAAAAAAGACTTCAGGTCTGTTTGCAATTGTACCCAACCCCAACTCTGGGGTGTAGAATTGCAAACAGATCTGAAGTCTTTTTTGTAAGTTTCATATGTGTGTGTGAGAGAGAGAGAGAGAGAGTGTGTGTGTGTGTGTGTTGTCCTGGTTGTGACAATTCTAAAACTACTTCATGTGCTTTGTTTTACAATGTTGATATTCTGGGGGCGGAGGGGTGGGCGGCACTCTCACTGAGGAAGAAAGGAATATTATTTGGCAATAAAAAGGTTAATGTATGTCACGTAACACAGATGAGCATCATATTCCATTTATATGAAATTCTGAAACAGGCAACATTAATACATGATGAAAGAAACCAGAACAGTGGTTTACTTGGGGGAGCTGGGGCAGAGGTGGTGATGGGGATTAGGACCTTGTAATTTAAGTATGATCATAATCAGCCTTATTTATAATAATCACATCATCACAAGGAAGCTTTTCTCAGTATCAATGCATAAATATATATAAAAACACAGTTAGAAAACTTCCAGTCTTTTCCTTCCCAGCCAGTGTGAAATTGCTTATAAAATTTCTGTTGACTTTTGTCATTTATTTACATCTACTGGCAGAAGGTCCACCAGGGCCAACTTGACTCTGACCATTCCTAAAGTAAAGACTGATCTAAACGATCCAGAATAAGGTCTATCTGATATTCAAAAAGAGAAGCATAAGCCGTCTGCCACGAGTCATAAGCAGCATGACTTTTCCTTATTATGCAGTATTGTTATACTGTGCAAGAGTGTCCCATACAATGCAATGTACACAGCTGTCCTGCTCTCACTGGGAAGATGCCCTTTAAAACAATGCTGTATTTCTGCTTGAAATTTTACATACTTTAAGAGAAAGAATGGACTGGGGAACGTAATTTATACTAAAGAAAACTTCCATAAGAAAACATACAATTTTTAAAAATCCATGAGATGGCATTTCAAAGCATCTTTTATTATTGGCAACTAAAAATTACTTTCTCCAAGAATGGCAATCTGTGAAACAAACTGCTGTATTTTCACATTGTCCCATCTGTTGTTTCTCTACAGCTAATAATTTCTTGAATAAGTGCCCAGACTTTTTCCTAACATTCAGATTTTGACACTATAATCTACATTATATTTATATAATCATCTGAATTCCAGTACCTCAGTTACAATAAAACATTCACTTTTTGAAAAAACATTTTGTGCTTAAAATTTCTTATTGGTATGATCAACCCTTTTGTCTATTTTTGATAGTAATAATAAAATTTCCCAGTAAGTAAAAGAAACATACAAATTGTGTAAAATTTATTCTAATTGTTGATTCTCAATATTTGATTCTCAGAATAGTAGCAGTTTTAATACTTTTACCACAATCACAAGTGCTAGTTCATATCAATAAGTAGACTAAACCCTTTTCTGTGTATCTCTCAAGCATATAAGTTAATGTCAAAAAAACAAAGATAAGATATAATACTAAGCATTTCAATTCTGTGTGGATATTTGTATATTACACAAGCTTTTACATGTCAATGTATTTCAATTCTTTCCAACAAACTAAACAAACTAAATTTTGATATCTGGTCTTTTTTTTTTTTTTTTTTTAACTCCAAGCTACTATATATTCTTTCAAATCTCTGTAAATATTCTGTATTTGCAGGGTTTTTGTCCTATTATTTTAGTAATATATAATGACATAACTCTGTTTTTAAGACAATGATTTCTTCCAATGTGATTTTTTTCCCCCGTATGGATAATATTCTGAAGGGCCATTATACAGCATGCCTGCCACGGCAGGTTGAGGGGAGGAAGCATGGTTATAAACAGCACCACTGGCATATATCCACTAGATGTCAGTCATGCAGTTAGCATCAATTTACATTCTTAATCCTGATGGTCATAAACAGAAATTCTATTAAAGCTAACCCTGATTCAGTATGCATATACCACAGAGACTCCCAGAATTTTATGCAATGTGGAATAAAGTCTTGTGACTAGAAGAGCTACTGTTTTGCACTAGTGAGGACATTAGCCATCAAAGAAATGTAGGCTTTTCCAAGTGCCATTGTTAGTTGAGGACAACTGTGTTGGGGGCAGTTGTGATGATTCTAATCAGTTTAGATTGATATAGTATCTAAATGAGAGAATGATAGGATATCATTTCAGAGAGTTATTTTGAAAGATTTAGCTTATGGAAACAGGGAAGCACAATGCAAAATATTTCTTGTATATTTAACATTTAGAATATTTCAAAGAATATCCCCTCCCCAAATGCTGATTATATTGAGAATAAAATAGTCTTGGGGAAATTGACTTAAGAACACAAGACATCTTGGGTTGTTGCTATCAAAATCAAAAATTAGTTCTATTCTTTCGGACATCTGATTTATTCTTCTCAGTAAAACAACGTGTGAGTTTTATAGGAGAGGTTCTTAAGGATTATTTTAGAAAAGTGTCCTATAAGGTGCTTACTGTTTCTGGGAAGGCAGTAAAATGACTGTCTACTCAGTGATCAGATTGTCTCAATCCAGTTCAATGTGTTAACTGTCACCGTGGACTGTGTTTGAACTCCTCGCTGTATAACTAATCATAAGCATTAGTCACCATAATCCCAAGCATTCCACACAATTTCCAAGTAAATATGGGAGGCAAAATAGAAATAAGGTCCATAAAGATCTTTAGGAAATGCTTGGTTCCTTCAACAATAAAATTAACAAACCAAATTAAGTGGTCTCAAATTTTCTTTCCAGCTCTGCTGTTTTGTGATTCTATAATGCAACATGTTGTTTTCCTTAAAACAATGGAAACTTTTTATGATGACTAGTTGTAACATGTTAGTTGTTCTTAAAGATAGAAAAATGTAAATATGTGTTATCAATTACATTACTTCTCAACCCTGATCCCTGCTTTTGTGGTCTAAAAGTTTATCATTTTTCTCCCTTCTCACACCCAGTGCAAGTCAAGGATTTCTTTTCCAGAGTTATCTTTATGTTGCTCCTATTCCCATTTCTCATTTTCCAATCCCAACTCATCCACTCCCCAGCTCTACACTCCCACTTAACACGAGATAGTCCTTGAAGAAATATTAGTTTGGAGATTTAGTGAGATCCTACCCTACTTAAATTCTGCTGCAGATAAATTCGTAGTCAGGCGAGGAACTATAGTCATGGGATGTTTCCAAGGGATGAGGAGCAGCCTATAATACTCTCAGTACTTTTGACACCATTGTGACAATGAGATTTCATAACAGAATCAGATAAGCATACAATCTATATCATGCTTGTTGAGAAGATCAAAAAAGTGGAACTTGGAATTCTAAGATGTGCAGATACATCTGCCCTCAGAGTATCATCCAGTTTCTATGCATCCTTTTACTAAAACATTGCATTTACTCAGCTTCTCAATAAATATTTATTGGCCAACTCTACACCAAGCACTGTGCTGAGCCTTGGAAATGAAGCTGTGAAATAGGCAAAGGCACTCTGTTGTCAAATGATCTAAAGTCTAGTAGAGAATGGTGATGAACTAAAGCCCATAGGGTTCTAATGGGAAATAAAAATCACTGGGTTATTCTTACATAATACAGCACTAGTATGGTTACCAGTATAAATAAAACATAATGCCGTGCAGAGTAGACATGTAGATTCTCCCAAGCAATGTGTCCTAAATTGCAGGATGATTTCCATGTAAATTGCAGAGCTATAGTCCCAGGGAGTCTTAGATGCATGAACTGAGACACTTCTAAAGAATCCCTTCATTCAGTTACTACTTTAGAATTCTGGAGGCCTCTATGAACCTAAGAAAAACATTGCTCAGAGATCAGACTCTAGCCCACTGTTTTCATTAATTTTATTTTTATTTCCTCAAAAACCTTATCAAAGTGTGATGCCTTTGAAATGAAAAGCTATTCCCTCCTTCCTTTATACTTTTGATGTTACGCTCCCTAGGAAAGACTTTAAGTAGAAAACCCTTGGAAGGCCTCAAAGTCAATTCTGCTGTCACTTTGCACAACTTATAAAGGACAAACTAGCTAATAGACTACCGGAAAGGAGAAGTTTATTAAACCAAGCAATTAGCTCTTTACTTTAAAGGGATTTGGTAAGACTAAATGAAGTAAAATATGCAAGGTAACAAGTTTTTTTGAAAGGGAAGATAAATTGTTCAGGGCTATAGGAATAAAGGTACAAAGATTTAATGAATATTTGTCCAGCACTTTACACTTTATAAGTGGTTTTCACTTATTTTATGGGCTCCTCACAATAGTTGTTAAATAGGCAGGGCAGATACAGAGCTTTCTGTGGTCCCTCAGTATGGGTCATCAAAGTCACAGTGAAACACATACCTTGCAAGTTTATATAAACTTCACTGAGTGGTGAGGGGCGGAATGCTGCTGGGGCTGGCCGGCAAGATCTCACTACACCACAGCATTAGCAACCATGCACAGGCTTACAAGAAGAAGCGGAGAGGAACTGCTGTGCGAGGGTGACTCCCAGAAGACAGATGGAGGGGCTATTAGACACAATTGAGCCAAGTCTCAGAGAGGCTAAAATGAAGTGTTGAAGATTGCATAGTTTGATGACACACCACTCATTAGTCACCCAGTTTAGTAACAGTCCTTCTAATATGCCATATTTTCTCTTAAACACTTGTTAAAGCAAGGGACAGGGTGGTCAGTCTTCCCGGGTTGAAGGCTTACTATATGCAAGATGAATTTGAGGTACTGGGTGTACATTACCTCTGTAGTAAAGTGGATATTAACTTTCTTAAAATGTAAATTATATTTTCAGTGTTCTAAAGAAAAAATTCTACCATAAGCTCTCCTGGAAAGTGAGAAATTGGGTTATAAAGCCAATGTTCTACTCCTTATCCCAATTTACCTTCCATAGTCTTAAAGCCAAAACCTCAGGTACTGGTCATATCCTGGCATGAAAAATAATCAGACTGCACTTAGATAAAGGAGGTTATAAACTGAGCCTTTTCAGACTCCAAAATGTTCTAGACAAAAGCAAACAAGCTAAGGGTTTGTTCCTCATCAAGAAAATTGTTCATCCATATCCCCTCCCATTTCCTCAATATTTTGACCTTACCCCAGCTGGTCAGCCAGCCCCACAATCCATTTAGACTCTAGAACAGAAATAAAATGCATACATACATACTGTAGCTGTAATTCAATTAATCTTCTCCTTGGGTTTCCTCTGCTCTGTGCCAGGGTCATTTGTAAGGCCATCACTCAGTTCAAACTGTTGCACCTGTGCTGCTATTGAAACACCCCTTCCTCCCTTTCACCCCTCCCTTACCTCTATCCTCCCAGGCACGGTGCCCTAATCACCTTTTTCCCAGGCACAATAGCTTTCCTTTGCTAGAAGGAATGTCAGAATTCCCCCAAGCACTGGCAAGGAAATATTTAAATGTAATCAGAGGATCTTCCTTTGTTTTCTTTTTTTTTTCCTGGGGAAATTAATATCTCTAAGGTATTGGATGTATTCTTTTGCTCTTCCGTGAGGCAACATCATCATACAGTGCTGAAGTGGTCACAGCTTGCAAAGGCTAAATATTTTCTTCTCCTTTGCTGCTGACACAGATGATACGTGCCTGGTTTCCTCAAGCATCTCTAATTGAATACTTTGCTTCATTTAAATTGTTTTAAACTTGGCTGTGAGAAATGTGTGTATCTCCCATCCCTCCCCCACCTAGAGTATGAATGCAGATTGGCAGCTGTGGCTCCCCTAATAGCTGCCCCCTCCCAGCTGTAGTCCCTTTAACTCTAACGAGCTTGAGAAACTTCCCAGTTCAATTCTCTCCAGTCATTGCCAGCCTTCGAGTTTCATATAGTTCCTAGGAGAAAAACTAGACTCTGCCAGATAGCTTTATAAGTTGGAAGAGCTTTTAAAGTCAAACTAGTCTTACTTAAATCTCTGCTCCACCACTTGCAGCTGTGTGAGCTTAGACAAATTACTTGACCTCTCTGAACTTCAGTTTTATTATTTGTGGTAGGACAAAACCAACTGCATAGGGCTGTTATGAGAATGGGATTTTGATATGAAATGGGATTTTATATATATACACACATACATAATATATTTTTATTATATATACACATTTATATATATATATGGTGTAGCAGAGATTTAAGTAAGACTAGTTTGACTTTAAAAGCTCTTCCAACTTATAAAGCTATATAGCAGAGTCTAGTTTTTCTCCTAGGAACTATATGAAACTTGAAGGCTGGCAACGACTGGAGAGAACTGAACTGGGAAGTTTCTCAAGCTCATTAGGGTTAAAGGGACTACACCTGGGAGGGGGCAGCTATTAGGGGAGTCACAGCTGCTAATCTGCATTCATAGTCTGCGGGGGAGGGATGGGACATACATACACACATTTCTCACAGCCAAGTTTGAATTGATTAAATAGATTTTTTATATATATGTATATATATATATACACATTTATCCAGCAGAAGTAAAGTGCTCTATAGTCTGCTTTGGTGATAAACGGAGGCCAGTAATGACTTAAATTATCTCCTAACATGGTTGTGCGGCCACAATGGGTGGCGTGAGGAGACCTCATCCAGGCCATACATAAAATATATAAAATCAATTTTTTATATATATATAAAATATATAAAATATATAAAATCAATTTTATATATATATAAAATATATAAAATCTATTATATATATATAAAATATATAAAATCTATTTTATATATATATAAAATATATAAAATCTATTTTATATATATATAAAATATATAAAATCTATTTTTTATATATATAAAATATATAAAATCTATTTTATATATATATAAAATAGATATATATAGATATATCTAGATATATATAGATATATATAAAATAGATTTTATATATTTTATATATATATAAAATATATAAAATATATAAAATCTATTTTTTATATATATAAAATATATAAAATCTATTTTTTATATATATAAAATATATAAAATCTATTATATATATAAAATAGATATTTTATATATATAAAATAGATTTTATATATATAAAATATATAAAATATATAAAATCTATTTTATATATAAATAAAATATATAAAATCTATTTTATATATAAATAAAATATATAAAATCTACTTTATATATAAAATATATAAAATATACAAAATTCATTTTATATATAAAATATATAAAATATACAAAATCTATTTTATATATAATCTATTTTATATATATAAAATATGTTATATATAATCTATTTTATATATATAAAATCTATTATATAATCTATTTTATATATATAATCTATTTTATATATAAAATCTTATATATAATCTATTTTATATATAAAATCTATTTTATATGTAAAATCTATTATACATAAAATCTATTTTATATATAAAATCTATTATATATAAAATCTATTTTATATATAAAATCTATTTATATAATCTATTTTTATATAATCTATTTCATATATATAAAAAATCTATTTTATATATAATCTATTTTATATATATAATCTATTTTTTATATATAATCTATTTAAAATAGATTATATATATATTTTTTTTCTAGTATAATCCCTGGCACATACTTGTTTTAAGCATGTTTTTTATTTTCTGTATTTTATGATGTTCTAATATCTCAGAAAGCTTGCTGGCCAGGGAGAGACTTCACCTCACAGGAGCAGCCAATTCTTATACAAAACAGAGGTCTCCAGAGAGCACCAACCAATCCCAAGTCTACCGCCTCAACCATTTCCTTGTCTAGCTCTCACACAAAAAGCCAATATTTCCGCACCCCTAAATCACTCTAAGGACAGATCCATGCAACTAAAGACCACCTCTATGCCCCAAAGCCCCCTATAATTATCGAAACTGCCAACCTTAAGCTCTTCACCCTGCCCTGCCTTGCCTTTCCCGCAGAAACCCCAATAAAGGCTCTAGCCTCAACTTTCCCCTCACTCCCACTTCTGCTTCCTGGCACTGGAACCTCTTCCGTGGTCCTGAGTTGCATGCCTTGCCTCTCATTTCTTAGGGAGCTGTGAGCAGCAGTGAGCCTTTCTTTTAATGGCATTACCTCTCTATGTCGTCACACAGTCATACCTCTCTATGTCGTCACACAGTCATACCTCTCTCAGTTACATTCCGGGTATAATTTTAGAACAGTATTTAATGAATGTGAACGTCTCCCCTTCCCATATTGTCATTTAACGATTCCCAAGAGCCCGTACGTTGTAATTAGATATAGTGGACACAAACACAGAGAGTTTCACTCTATTGCTATCAACCAACAAGATGTAGACAGACCTGAAGACTTGGGAGGTAAAGTTCTGCAGCAGCGGTTCTCAGGCTTTAGCCGGCATCAGAGTCACCAGGAGAGCTGTGAAAACACAGATTACTGAACCCAGCATCCAGTTTCTGATTCAGGAGGTCTGCGTTGGCCTTCCAGAATTTGCATTTGTAAGAAGTTCCCAGGTGCTGTTGCTACTGGCTCAGGGACAATATTTTGAGAACCATGGCTTTAGAGGATGTGAAAATGAGCAGTTTGGGGAAAATAACTGGCGTGATAGGATAAACAAATATCTCAATTTGAATAGAATCAAAGTTTTGGAGTTTGGGGGAAACATCAACAAAGTAGATGCCTGCTTCACAAAAGGTGCCTAGATTACTTAGGCAGAGTTCCCAGAGTGAAGCTCTCTGTCTCAGAGAAAGAGCCACTCGGAGAATTTTCTGTTGTTTGTTTGGTTTCTGGACTTTTTTAGACGTCCATTGTTTATTTCCCTTTCCCCACATTTTTTGGCTAGCAGGGTCAAATATGAAAGCTTATCATTTATCCAGCAGAAGTAAAGTGCTCTATAGTCTGCTTTGGTGATAGACGGAGGCCAGTGATGACTTAAATTATCTGCTAACATTGTTGTGCGGCCACAATGGGTGGCGTGAGGAGACCTCATCCAGGCCATACATAAAATATATATTTTAAATAGTCCACACGTTCCCAACACAGGCACATAAATAGTGTCACTCTTTTAAACTATCACATCAGCACGGAGTATTTAATAACAACAGCATTTTTTCTCCCTCAGCGTTGTTTTAAGCCTCTATTCTTTGGCAGGTCTGTCTTGTCCCCAGCTTTCTAGGAATGAACTAAAAGAACTTTTGCATCTGCATGAACTAATAGCCTCTTGTGAAACAATGTGGGCTGTAAGTAGAGTTGCCAGAGTGAGTCAATAAAAAGACAACTAAAGTTTGAATTTCAGACAAATAACAATTTCTTATATGTTTACCCCATGCAATATTTGGAACATAATTACACTAAAAAGTTTTTCACTATTTATCTGAAATTTATTTATTTATTTATTTATTTATTTATTTATTTTTTGAGATGAGGTCTCGCTTTGTCACCCTGGCTGGAGCTGGGTGGTGCAATCACAGCTCACTGTGGCCTCGACCTCCTAGGCTAAAGCAGTCCTCCAGCCTCAGCCTCCCGAGTAGCTGGCACTACAGACTCACACCACCACACCCAGCTACATTTTTTTTTTATTTTTTGTAGAGACGGGATCTCCGCATTTTGCCTTGGCTGGTCTCAAATTCCTGGGTTCAAGCCATCTGCCTGCCTTGCTTTCCCAAAGCTCTGGGATTACAGGCATGAGCCACCTCGCCCAGCAGAAATTCCAATTTAACGGAGCATCCTAGATTTTATCTGACAACCTGCTACAAAGCCTTCCTCAGAGGTCATCCCTAGGCTCTGTATTGTCAGGAAAAACAAGGAGTGGGGAGGGAGCTTAGAAGCTGAACAATGCATGAGGTAGGAACAATGAAGAAAAGCCTTTTCCCTCCTCCATGAGCTATAACTGCTGCTTCCTTCTGCACATTGCACTGTGGTCAGGGAGCCTTGTTAACTACAGCTCCAACACCACTTTATAAATCATTACTCACTTCCTGTCCATTAACATTACCAAACAGCAGGGGACAACTTGTAAGCTATTATCCTGTAGTCAAGCCCTTGCATCAAAAACATTAGCTCACCAAGTATTTTTGTACATTTTAGTAAGGATTACTCTTTCCTAAGTCAAGTTTTAAATCTCCCCCGCCAACACACACAGTATTACCACCTCTTTACAACTATATACGTGTAAATACTCTGACTCAGCTTTTTCTTTTACTACATCATTATCAAATAACCAAATTTCCCTATTCTTACCATTATCATCAATAGAACAAAGGCATTACTAAACACCAGAAACTATCAGATAATGCAAAAAGGCAATTCAAACCATGAGGTCTGTCTCCTGGGAATTTCTCTAGGTGCTATGGATACAAAGATGAACAAGACACTCTTTTGTGAATCCATTTAAAATATTTGGGAAATTTGACCAGGTGCGGTGTCTTACGCCTGTAATCCCAACACTTTGGGAGGCCAAGGCGGGCGGATCACTAGAAGCCAGGAGTTTGAGACCAGCCTGACCAATATGGCGAAACCCCATTTCTACTAAAAATACAAAAATTAGCCAGATGTGGTGGCGTGGGCTTCTAATCCCAGCTTGGGAGACAGAGGCTAGAGAATTGCTCCACCTGGGAGGTGGAGGCTGCAGTGAGCCAAGATCTTGCCATTGTACTCCAGCCTGGACAACAGAGTGAGAGTTGGTTTCAAATAAACACATAAATAAAGTATTTGGGAAATTTAAATGATT